AAGCAGCATCTCTCTCTTCTGCACCACGTGAACTAGAAAGGTAACCAACTGAAGAAATCCCTCCATATACTCAGTGAGTGCTTGCAAGTGAAATTGAATAATCAATATCCGAAAAGAGAGAATGTGAGATGCAAGGTGTCAAGCATGGTCCATACTTGAGGTGTGCCCGGGGCTCTAACATACCCATGCCCCACCTCCAGTGGCTCGATTAGAAGCTGATAGGTCGTCTCGCTTGGTAGCCTACAAGGGATCATGGTGAGAATCGTCAGCCAATCGGCAGCCCGCACAACAGGAAGGCCGACTCCAATACCAACCTCGGTCTCCTGAGCAGTCTCTCCAGCCAAAGGAGCACCTGCTGCGTCGCCCGCGCGAACTCCAGTCAGGGGTGGCATAAGATGAATCCGAATGAAGGTCATGTAGTCATCCTCCCCTCTGAAATAGTCGGCGTCTAGCCCCACCATATACTAAATAATGGCCTCAGCTGAGAGGCTATCAGCTGTCCTCATGGATGTTGGGGGCAGCATAGGAACAACTGAGGCAAGCAAGCTAGTGTCTGGCATAAAAACTACTCTCCCAAGGACCAAGCCCGACATAATGGGCCCTCTAGCAAAATTCGATATTGAGAGGTAGCCCAAGCCCCAGCATATTGGTCTCTAACTCTGGCTGGCATCATCGTCTATGGCTGTCACGTGATCTGCAAATAGAGAAGCTACAAGTTGGTAGTTGCTGTCAGTTGTCATAATATAGATCAAAACAACGGCAATGATAATAAAGTAGAAAATCACTGTGAGTTTTGAAGTACCTTGCGGGCGACCATTATATAGAAGTAGGGCACGGCCAGAGCAATCTCATCCATCGGCTTTGGAGCAAGGGCTGGGAAATAGGCGTAAACCCACAGCTGCAAGAAAAAATCAATAGTGTTATTAAACAGAAAGTGCAAGGCAGAAAGCACAATGTATGAACAGATATAAGGCAGAAAGCACAATGTATGAACAGATATAAGACAGAAAGCACAATGCATGAATAGATATAAGGTAGAAAGTGCAAGGGAAAAAGCACAAATACATGAACAGATATTAAACAGAAAATGTAAAGCAGAAAGCATAAGAAGTAAACAGGATTGAAAGTGCAGTCCATACCTCCCAAGCTCTCCAGTAGCCTCTGACCATGTATTCCCTCATGCGGGAATTGGAGCTCATGTAGCTGTAAAGTGTGGCAAGGCCAGCTCCACCCTAGCCATAAAATCTAACTAGGGGCAAGGTCACAAGGGCACTCAATAGGTACAAACCTATAGGGTATGTTTGGTTTGAGTTTGGGAGATGAGTTTTAGAGATAAAAAGTACGAAAAGTTGTTTGGTTTGATTTTTTTTAAAAGATGTTTTGGAAAATTATTTTGAGAGAGAGTTTTAGAAAAAGAGATTGATTTGATGTGTATGAGAGAGAGATTTGTTTGGAAAACTTGTAAACCAAACAAGTTTTGGGAAATTTTTTTGAGAAAATTTGTTTGGTTTGATTACTTTTGAAAACTTATTTGTAGAGAATTTTTCCCAAAAATTTTTGGGAAACACAAACCAAACAAGGCCATAGTGTTCCACCTATTGGCGAACAAGGTGGTACTGAGAAGGTATATCAAGAAGCCCCGAGTGTATTACTCTATCTCTTCTTGAGTCTCAGGCTAACTCCTACAGAAGCGCTCGAGGAACCAACTGTATCGCACCATAGCTGGTCTGTATAGGGGTGGGCTCGCTCCGAGCAGGTTGATCCAGGCCGTCTCACACTGGCCCATGTCCATGTCGAAAGGGATCAGATCACCCCCTACTCCTAAGCCTGTGATCATCGAAAAGTCATAGGGGGTTATCGTCGTCTCCCCAGCGGAAGAGAAATGGAAAGAGCTGGTGGTATCCCACCACCTCTCCACTAATGTTCTGAGTATGGCCCGGTCAGCCATGTGGCGCGTGAGCCCAGTGCAAAGTACGGGAAGATCTACCTCGTCAGCAAGGTTGCGGACCTAGAAAGGGGAGTTCGTAATACCAATCCCTAGCCATAACTGCCCCGTAACCCCTACAGAAGCGAGAGTCCTCCTGTGGCAAAGAAAGACTGAATCAGATGAAAGACAGTGATAAAAGAAGAGTCAGGTGAAAGGCAGTACAAGACAGTCAGATAAAAGGCAGTAAAGCATGAAAATAAAGGTTATACTTTAGTAGCGCCATGGGAAAGGTGGGAGTTCAACTCCCTCAGCAAAATATCCTCCGACCCGCCATCAATGAAGTCATCAAAGCGCATCATGCCTCCAGGCGCCATCGTGTGTTTGCGAGGGTGGTATGTGGTCGAATCAAAGGGCCTTACCCTCAATGGTAGTAACTCAGGCTCGGGCCCTAGGGCAAAGACCTCTGCCTCTGCCTCTACCTTGAGGTCAGTGGCAATATCCTCTGCTACCTCATTAGCCTCATCAGCTATAGGCGCCTTAACCTCAACAACAGGTGGAAGAATAGATACCTCAAAAGGAGCATCGTCATCAGGAATGTCATCCGCCATATGGAAAATAGGGTGAAAACTGGTGAAAAAGTGGAGAAAATGAGGAAAAATAGGGAAGACTTGGAAAAAGTCAACCATAGGAGAAAGAAAATGGAAGAAAAAGTCAAAACCCAGGAGAGTTCACAAAACCCAAGAAAAACTCAAGGGAATCAAGCCCAAAGTGTTGAAAACCCGAAAAAATTAACGAAAACAAAATCTGATCGGTTCAAAGTGAAGAGGGCCAAAGAAGGTTTACGAATAAAGTTTGTGTAAGGCCTTGGAAAAGGCATACAAAGCACAAATCTAGAGAGAGGAAGTACCTAGAGAGGGAGGGGGAGAGTTTTCGGACTTGGGTGTGTGAGGAAATGAAGTTTGGTGATGTGTTTAAGTATACCCGCGCCGAAATCCCGTTTTTGCCCCCGAATTGCCATTAGTGGTCGGCCCTACACTATTAGTGCCCGGCAAGCCCCTTTTGTGGCCCCGTGCTAGTTTTGTTCCCCTTTTGCCCTAACAATGTATGGGAGGTCCTATTTTGGGTCTGGGAAGAAGGATTGAGGTATGCGAAGTGGATTTGATTTTCGAGGAGCTCGAAACTGTGTTCCGATTGTGCCGTTCCGATGCCCGATATACTCCAACGTGCAAACGTGCCCCAATTTCAAATATGAACAAGTTGTATCCTTTTGAGCATTTTGCAAAGCCTTCGGGAGGATAAGTCGGAGGTTGTCGTCAAGCGTCGTTTTTGTCCATTTTGTCAATTTACATATCTGATATCTTCTCTTGCATAGAACATGCATTTAGTTATCTTGCATAGAACATGCTTTCAATTATATTTCATAGAACATACTTTCGATTCTTGTATGGAACATGCTTTTAATTAACATCATGTATCGGTTGTTTAGTATCTTGCATAGAACATGCGTGGTCATTATAGTGATTTTCAATCTCGCTCACTTTGTACATCTATCGCACTCATTCATTATGTGCATCTATCAAACACTTTCTCACTATGTGCATCTATCACACACTCTCTCACTATATGCATCTATTGCACACTCTCTCACTTTGTGCATCTCTCGCACACTTTTGTTACATTGAGAATCTATCGCACACTTTTGTTACATTGTGCATCTATCGCACACTTTATTACATTGTGCATCTATCGCACACTTTTGTTACTTTGTGCATCTATCGCACAATCAATCTGTAGTGTGTATCTATCGCACACTCTTACTGCCTTGTGCATCTATCACACACTCTTACTGCCTTGTGCATCTATCGCACAATCTCATACTTTTTGCATCTATCGTATCATCTCAAGGTGTGCAGAAGCACGACCCTAAGCAGTTTTTTTGGGCATGGTTAGAGTGTGATTTTATTTCTTTCCGCGTGAAATGTGGTTTGGCTTGTTATTGCTTATTGCCTCATCTTTCGTGATCACAGAGTTTCAAAAAACCGGCTTCGCGAAGTGTGTGAGTTCAGCTTTCAAGGTATATTCTTTGTGCATATCATTTGCATCATGTCCCTGAACTACGCTGATTTGATTCCTTGCAAAGGGGTATGTAGGCAACCTTTGGGTTCAACCAATTTAATTTATGTCTTGATTGTTTGTCCAAGTCTTACGGCCTTGTCAAAATGGGTTGTCTCTGGGTTTTCACATTCACTCACGTCATTTCATAACTTCGACCTCTGTCAAAGAGAGGCAACTGTAGACACCCCATTTTTTACCGCCTTTAAGACTTGGGCGCCACTAAGTGATCACCCAATGATGAATTTACACGCTTGTCCAAGAGAGGCAACTGATGGGAGAGGAGTCGATGTTTGTGGTCGAAGGCGGCAACAATGGCTGCCGAAAGTGGTGGTTAGGGATGGAGTAGGATTATAGTTTGAATTTTTGGGGATTAAAGATGAGGACAAATTTGGTATTATAGTGAGTGTAAAAATAGAAAACTATAAAAATTGAGTGTAATGAAAAAAAAAAAAAAAAAAAAGAGTATTGTGTAAATCAAATGACACCTAATTAAAATAGTGAAATTTATTTTTTTAAATAGAATTCACCTTGTTTTAACCAATCACACGATAGAGAGTTTTATTTACGCACTAAGTCAATGGAATATAATTAATTTTCTTTTTTTAAACAAAATTAATTTTATCATAAATAGAAATAAACACTACCCCCATATACAAAGGCCGAAAACAAAATCACTTGGTATCTATTAAAACAAACACAAAATGACAATCTTGACATATTTATATATAACATATTTGTACGTAGATAGAAGAATCACTTTTCTTGCTTCCACCACCCAAATTTTTACAGTAAAACCAAAATTAAATCTCATGAATTTCAGGTGTCCCTCGTACAACCCAATGTGATTCTATGCCGACCATAGCCTGTTTCTCATGTTTTTTATAGGCATTTAATGAATATTTTGCAAGAGAAAAAACACTATAAATACACCCTTGAACACTTATAGTGTCCCATCCAGAGACAGCTATTAGAGCTCATTGAAACCAATACAAAAAAATATATATATTTCTAAAAAAGTGAATCAAAGAGCTCTAATGGCTTCTAACAATTTGCTGGTCATCCTTGCCATTGTGGCAGTTGTTCTTCCTTCAGTCACCATGGCTACTGATTATTGGGTTGGTGATTCTAACGGTTGGACCAATGGCTATGATTACCAAACTTGGGCTAAGGATAAAGTATTCTATGTTGGAGACAAACTAGGTAAACTAGCATTTCTTTTCTTTTCTTTTTTGCTTTTTTTGTTTTTTAATTTTATTTTAAGTAATGAGGAGCTTCCTCGTAATTCATCTCTAGCTAAGGGTCGGCATCTGGTTGGCTCAGCTTGCAAAATTGGTGCCCACATTCACACACGGGCTAAGCCTAACAAGTTTGTTAATAGATTGAGTCAAGTTGGTCCAAAGTCAAAAAACTTTATGCTCAAGTTGTGTCTAACCAGCTTGACTTGTGCAACAACAAAAAAAATAATAATAATTATTATATTTTTATTGAACTTTTTATTTATTTTTTTATTATTTTTTGTCTAATCTGTACGCCGCCTCATGCATACTAAGCCAAGCGTTGGTCCAAGGTCAAAAAATCTTATGCTCAAGTTGTGTCTAACCAGCTTGACTTGTACAACAACAAAAAAAATAATAATAATTATTATATTTTTATTGAACTTTTTATTTATTTTTTTATTTTTTTTTGTCTAATCTGTACACCGCCTCATGCATAATAAGCCAAGCTATCGAGTCGGGTTTCAGCACCTAAGCCCAACACAAGCCTTATTTGGGCTAACCTAGCTGGCCAAAGGTATAACTTTGGATTGAATAAAAATGCAACTGACTAAGCAGTCTTCAAACGAAATGATGACTCTTATCTCTCAATATATATAATCATTTGTCCTATATACCAAGTAATTATTGGGCGTAAGTCCTGACTAGGGTGGGATCAAAGAGGAGTACAGAGAGAGCTTTTACTCCTTAGTTCAAACTCATGACTTCTCGTATGTCAATAATAGGCTATGGGCAAGTGAAACAACTTAGTTGGTTACGTAATACAAGTTGAGATTCAATTTACTAGCCACTACTCTATGCCTAAATTTCTATTTGCTCCCGCCCCAACTGACAAAGGATCCTTTAGTCTTGTCAGAAAATATTTACAGTCATTGAATCACATAAAAATCTTAAAATTTGGGAATCTTAAGCACTATCATGTCGAGGGATGTAATCAATTTCATACAGTTAGTATTTAAATAAAAAATTTCACCGAATTAATACTGTCGATTTTATTATTTTGAATATCGATACATATCATTTCTCCCATCAAACTGCACCACACTACATTAAACCGAACCGATTGAAACGGTTCGGTTTAATCGGTTTATGACTTTTCAAAGTTAAGCTACTTTTTAATATAGTCACTAATCTATATAAAAACATTGAATTAGTTATTTTTCCTTCATTTCAAACATATTCAATCCATCCATTTAATAGAATACTTTTCAATTCCTAAATTAACAAAAATACAAACAAAAAAAAGTTAAAAAATACTAGATTTCAATAATAATGAGTTAGAGTTAAGATTATATATAACAAAAAATTATAAAAGGTTATAGAGATGATAAGGTTAATAATTTATTATATTTATTAATATCATTATATTATTAGATTATATATATTATAAATATAATATATGTTGAAACGATCGGGTTTCGGTTTAATTCGGTGCACAAAGTGCTTGAACAGATACCAAATCAAAAACCAAAAAAAAACAAATTTAAAAATCGCACAGATCGATTTTTGTTAAAAAACAGACAATATATAGCCGGTTCGATCGGTTTGGCCAGTTTTTTCAATTTTTCTTACATTCCTTATCGTGTCATTGAATCATTGAGACTCTTAAGACACAGGAATCTTGAGACATAATCTAATGATCATGAGTGTTTTATGATAATGAAACAAAGAATTTTGGGCCAAACGATCTCCTGACCGTTTCAATTATTCCTCTATTAACCTAATATGTCACTTCAATTAATTTCTTCTTCTTTATTTGTTTGTTTGTTTCTCACACAGTTTTTAACTACACTATGGGAAATCATAACGTGTTCAAAGTAAACGCTACCGGCTTCAGCCAATGCATTATCCCACCATCAAATGAGGCATTGACCTCTGGACACGATATCATTCCCCTTATGGTCCCTGGAAAAAAATGGTACATTTGCGGTGTGGGGCAGCACTGTGCTCAGTTTGGCCAAAAGCTTGTCATCAACGTGGAAAGCGGAGCTCCAGCACCGACCCCTGTGAAAAACTCTGCTCATGGGATACTAATTTCTGGGTATCCATTTTTCATGGCAGCAGTGTTAGCTGTGGCTGCCATGGTTATGGCTTGACTAATATGACATTTAGGTCATTTAGATCAACAAATTTTATATTGTTTTACGAATAAGACATAGAAGCTGTACTGGCTGTGGCTGTTGTGATTGTGGCTTGACCAATAAGACATTTAGTCACTTTTAATCAACTGATTCTATGTTGTCTAAGAATAAGATTCAATTGAGTACAACACTATTCACAATCTTTTGTAGCTTTTTTACGTATGCATTTTGTATACCTTTGTGATGAATTAATTCTTATATTTTGAAAATTGAACAATATGTATGTGTATGTGTATGTGTTGTCTTTCATTTATTATGGAGAAAATATCATTTTGCATCAATTTTACTCTTACTGCCAATTCCCATCTATAATCGAACAAAAGTTGTTAATGTGGCATCTAAATTTCATTTGAAATTTTGTTTTACCCCCAAAATTATCCTCAAAATATCAATTAAACTCCTAAATAAAATGAAGTTTGGGGGTCTAATTGCTATCTTAGAGATAGTTTGGATGTAAAATGAAATTTCAAACGAAATTTTGATGCCACGTTAACAACTTCCGTTTTATTATAAATTGCAGGTAACGCCGGGATAAAATTGATCTAAAATTAAATAGTTTAGATATAATATTGATATTATTAAAAGAATTTGAACAAGAATTGAATTGATTTTTAAATAATAGTTGGAGGACAAAATGATATTTCCTCTTTATTATGACACTCTAACTCTTGTTAAAATTATGAGTAATATTATTAGATCTTCTTGCCATTTCAAAAAGCCAAACAAATAAATAAATAATAGTGACCAAAGTCACATGTTGATGTGAGTGTTTTCTCACAAAATTTTAAGTAAATTTTTAATATTATTGCTATAATAAATAATCATTCTACAATGCCTAAAAGAAAATATATGTATATATATATATTGATTTTTCGCAATAGCATGAGGTTATATGTTCTCAAATTTCTTATTGCCTTTATTCTAAAACTGTTGATGGAAGACAAGCTGGGGTTTGTGGTCAAAGGCGACGACAATGGCTACCGAAAATGGTGGTTAAGGGATAGAGTAGAGTTAGGATTTAAAAAATTAGAATTTAAAGATAGGGATAATCTGCAAGGAGTCCCTCATTGTAATACTTTAATGGGAAAAGGACATGCGTGTGGATTATGTTGCAATAAGGACATCTATAAGATGATTACAAAAATGCTCTTAATAACTAATTTTTTAAAAAATTATGTTACTTTTGATATCTATTTATTCGTTTTTAATAAAATTAGTATTTTTAAAATTTTCATCAAAATCTATTAAAAAAGAATCATGTTGGCCATCAAATTTTGTAAAAAAAATAATAATAAAAAAAATTTTACCGTCAAAATTAATGATAATAGTAAAATTATACTTTATCTTACAATCAAATTTTACTTTGATTCATAATAAATTTTATTGTGAAATTTTAACATTTTAAGAAGACTTCGTGTCCTTCATGAAAGACAAACAAATTTATTTTCATTTTGCTATCAACTTTTAATATGTACTCTGCCAACTTTGAAAATTTTACACTGGTTTGAGTTTTGTTTGGTGATAGTCTATTTATAAATGATAGTAGAAGTTTAGTTTAGTTTGTTCATAAAATTGACAGTAAACTTTTATCTGATCTGGCATTTTTTTTACTTCTACACAATAAAATTTTACTATTTTTACTGTTGAACATACTTCAATATCTTCATTGGAGATCCTAACCTCAGTATTCATTAGGGTCACAGGGCCCATTACATAACTCAAATACTAAAGCCCAGCATTACTGAAGCCCCAAGTAGCAATGAGAACCAATGACATCAAGACACATGGCAAGAGAAGGGCAAGCCACATAAGCAGATAAAGATCTGCAAAATTATTGTCACTGCACATCGCCATTAATGAGGCCCCTTACAGCATTTATTGCGATAACCCCTCTCCGTCGGGACAGAACGCCTTCACCATGAACAAGGTAAGCTAGAGCATAGACTTTCGGCCAAGGTGACAGGTCGGAAAGGACAACGAAATGATTACCAGAGGATATAAGCAAACGTCAAGGACAAGAAGAAGGTTAAATTTTTCTATCTCTAATCTATCTGCACATTCCACTTCTCTCTCTCTAACTTGCTCGTCGGAGGGTTCGCTGGGGGATTCCCCGTTCCCCGTTGAACTCTTGTGCAGGTCTTCTAGTGGGCTTGGTCATTTGGGCATAGGCTCGAGGAGCGTGGAATCAGGCTCGAGGAGCGTGGAATCAGTCTGACCCGTTCCATCTGGAATGAACTGTATCATCAGTTGGCGCTGTCTGTGGGAAACGTTTTTGTTCTGCGCGCCAGTTGTGCTCATTGTTGCCAGAGACCCTCTCCCAATAACCCCCTCCTACCACCTATAAAGGTGGATGGTCACAACTAGATCCATGGCTTCTCACCCTAATGTTCCTGATCATCAAGCCGACCCTCCCAATCCGAATAACCCACCACAGTATTTCACCGAACTCACCAACAGCATTAACCGCTTGGCCAAACAAAACCAAGCCCTGATTAATGCTCTAGTCCAAAGAAACCTTCCTATGCCTCCTCCACCACCTCTAGATGTTCCACCCAACCAAGAACGAGCCCCGAGCCATACTATCCTACAACCTAACCCACCCAACTCGGAAGGCTTGCGGGTTCTCCTCCCGGATATAAACCTGCAACCTCGGGCCCCGCACCCATCGGCCCCGGTACCAACCCCTGAGGAAGAGGCCAGTAGCGTCCAGCCCCTGCTCCCCTCCGGTGGTGACAACATTCCTCTCTGGGATGCAGAACTCCGATCCATGAAGCTCCAGCTCCAAGGAGTCATGCAAAACATACAGCATAAACCATCCACCACGGCCAACTCGCCGTTCATTGCCTCCATCCAAGACAAACCTCTACCCCCCAAGTTCAAAATGCCCACCATCGACTCTTTCGACGGTACAACGGACCCAGTCGATCACTTAGAGACCAACAGAACCCTCATGATCCTCCATGCATTCCCCAACGAGATCATGTGTCGTGCTTTCCCCGTAACACTCAAGGGGTCGGCTCGACTCTGGTTTAGTCAACTACCAGCAGATTCTGTCTCCACTTTCCAACACCTCAGTGACTCCTTCCTCAGCTATTTCATTGGAGCCCAGCGCCAACGACGCCCAACAACCCAACTCCTCAATATCCGTCAGATCGAGGGGGAGTCGCTGCGTAGTTTCGCTACCCGCTTCAACACCGAAGCCTTGCAGGTAGCGGAAAACGATGACAAGGTCATCCTTACAGCTTTCATGGCCGGTCTACGGTCATCTGATTTCCTTTTCTCCCTCTCAAAAAACCCCCCGACCTCTATGGCAATCCTACTCTCTAAAGCCCAAAAATACATGAATGTTGAAGATTCACTAGCCGCCCGACAAGACCCAATAGCCAAAAACCTGACCTCCAGAGAAAAGAGAAAGGACTCAGAAACCAGAAATATCCAGTACACTCACCAAACACCTCAGTACAATGACCGAACACCCCGAGCCGACCGGTCGGCACCAGCCCGATTGCCCGACTGCCCGGCCTGTTCGAGCGGTACACACCGCTCAATTCCCCCATGGAACAAGTCCTCAATCAGATCCAGCGGGACCAACCCCTAAAATGCCCCCAACCATCACGGACTCCTTCCGATCGAAGAGACCAGTCCAAATATTACCGCTTTCACCAAGACCACGGCCATAATACCGAGGAGTGTGTTAACCTCAAAGATCAGGTCGAGGGCTTGATTCGTCAAGGGCGTCTCAATCGATTCACAGATACCCGCCCTCAGCAGAGGCAACGGACTGAACCCACCAGAAATAACCGCTGGCGCATCCTTCCCCGACAACCAGCACAACCTAACCAAGGTCGTGATCGCCCACCACAACAACCTCAGGCACAAGGTAACCCCGACCCACCTGTTGGAGAAATCAGAGTTATTTCCGACGGGCTTGCTTGTGGAGGACCATCCCGCTCAGCTCAGCTCAACGGGCAGAACTCAGAAAAATAAGGCAAGGCTCACACAAAGAAGTTGCCACACTGGACCGACCCTCCAAATAGCCCAGGTAGTAGACTGAGCCTATCACCTTTACGGACGCCGACTGCACAGGCATCCGCTACCCCCATGACGACCCTCTCGTCATTTCTGCCCTCCTTTCCAATTACAAGATCAGACGAGTTCTCATTGACAACGGCAGTTCTTCAGACATCATCTTCCTCAACTGCTTCCGCCAGCTCAAGATTGGGAAAGAAAGTCTGTCTCCTCTCCAAACCCCTTTGGTCGGTTTCACTGGTGACCGAGTGACCTCCATCGGCTCCATTGATCTTGCCATCATAATCGGCGAGTACCCGCGACAGACCACAAAGTTGCTCACCTTCCTTGTTGTCGACTACCCCTCTACCTACAACATCATCCTTGGCCGCACCGCCCTAAATGCTTTCCAGGCAGTCACATCCACTTTCCACCTTGCCATCAAGTTCCCCACTGATCTTGGGGTCGGCACAGTGAGGGGAGAGCAGACCGTGGCCAGAGAATGTTATGTCGCCTCCCTTAAAGAAGTCAAGCTCAAAGAGGCTATGATCATTGAAGGACTCGACGTCAGAGACGAGGACGAGCAGGTTAGAGGGGAACCAGTGGAGGAGCTCGTCGAGGTCCTCATCGATCCCACCAACCCGACCAAAACCGCCAAGATTGGCAGTCAACTATCCCCCTAGGCCAAGGCCGACCTCACCACCCTCCTGATTGAACACAATGATGTGTTTACCTGGACTCACTCTGACATGCCGAGTATTGACCCCTCCTTCATCTGCCACCATCTCAGCATTGAGCCCCATTTCCGACCTGTCTGCCAGAAGCAGCGCATTTTCACCCAGAGCGCAATAACCTTATTGCTTCTGAAGTAGATAAGCTCCTTGAGACACAGTTTATCACGAATATAGACTACCCTAGATGGCTGTCGAATGTGGTTCTAGTTCGTAAAAACAATGGTAAATGGCGACTCTGTGTCGACTACTCCTACCTTAACCAAGCTTGCCCCAAAGACAGCTATCCTCTCCTTCGTATAGATCTGCTGGTTGACGCCACGGCCGGTCATCAAATGCTCAGCATCATGGATGCCTTCTCTGGATACAACCAGATCCTGATGCACCCATCTGACCAGGAACACACCTCCTTCATCACTGACCGAGGCACCTACCATTACTGTGTGATGCCATTTGGGTTGA